GCATGGCCTCTTCGTGAGCATTGTCCAAATGTGTTGACGTCTCGCGAAGCCTAATCTCTTAAGTGTACCGCAGGCGGCGGACTCCAATGACACACACGAGCAGAGCCATACCACATGAAATAGCATGTCTCCGCCGGACGACACGACCAACTTTCAAGAACCGGCCTTTTGGCGAGTGGCCTCGGCTCTGCTGAAATCCCGCCCCAAAAGTGCCCCACCCTCCACTAGTCGGGTCAACACACAGACAAGCGGATCGACAGTTTAGGAAATCGGCAATAAATGGGTCGACTCACGTTTTCAGTCTTCCAGGAGAGTATTCTGCAGAATTTCGATACTTTGCCTCAGACGCATGTCGAGTCATCCTAAATTTCCAAGACTGGAAGGATCGTGTTAAAATCCCGCGTGATTACTCAGACGTCGGCCTCGCGTGGACGCCTGAGATTCGGTTACCATGACGGCGTACTACTGCTGGCGCGAACACTACCACAAGTAGTACACACAGTTGCGAGTAGTTTATACGTCCACTGTTATCCGCATTACATCCAAGTATGTGAAAGTATCGGATCAATACACGGATCAACCAGACTGATTGTCATGGCAGAAGAGTGAGACCTGCTACCGATCTGTCACCGTGTACATTGTAGGGCAGCAACGCGGTGGGGGAATATCGATCATGTGTAAGGATTTCTGGATCGTTTTTGCCGGGCCGGATGGAGACATTCACTTCTCAAACAGACCGACAAAGAGAAAAGCACACCTGCAGCCGGCGCCGATGATTGGTAGGTCGGTCGGTCGGTCGGTCGGCCTGGCAATGTCCAAGGATAGGCAGGGTCGGTTGTCGTCTGGTTGCGTAAAAAGCCTTTCGTCGGACGCTGAGCAGACGCGACGGCAGAGCCGGGCCTGGCCGGGTCCGGGCAGACAGAGCTACAGACATGGACTAACGGATAACGGTGCCTGCCAGACTTGTCGGCCGGCCGGCCGGCCGGCTGGCTGATTGGCCTCGATCGGAACTCGACAGTGCGATGCCTCGTCGCATTCACGTGTCTGTCCGTGTCCCGGTACTCTGGACACGCAGACACGTTGTCAAGACACCCCGTGACGAATGGACTGAAAGATGGACGGATGAATGGATGAACGGTGGAACGATGGAACGGATGAAGAGAATAACGGATGAACGGATGAACGGATGAACGGATGAACGGATGAACGGATGAACGGATGAACGGATGAACGGATGAACGGAAGGACGCAAGAACGGAAGAACGGAAGAACGGAAGAACAGTCGTGCCAAGTGTAGCCCTGTTCCTCGCCGTATCTCTGAGACAGTCTGCCTCGTGCCGGCGATTGATTCAGCCAGACAAGCGCGCTGATTGGTCGGGAAGCATGACCTTGACGAGGCATCTCTGGCCTGTCAACCCACTTGGGTTGGTCCAACCAGCCTTCGGCTACGGACTTCGGGTCGCCTTTGTGGACTCGACCTGTGCGTAGCCATAACACCCTGTCTGCTGACTGTCAGTCTATCAGAAAGTCGTCGCCGGACACACCCTCACGACCATTCCTTCTTCACCGTAAGCACCCTGGCATAATCACCAGTTCCCAATTCGGACGGTCATGGAAAGTGAATCGCGCATTCTACAGGCTCTCTGGTATGAGTGGGCAAAAAGGACTTGAATTGTTGACTGAAAGGATTGCGAATGATTCAGTTGACTGTCCCTCGAGATCAATAGCGTTGGCAAGGCAAAACACTGGCCAGGCCTGTAGACGGGGAAAACGCAAGAGGTAGACTTTGGGAATTATAAAATATGCATTCCTGCAGGACAGGGTTATAGTGATTTGGTCTGAAAAATATCAGGTCAGCTTAAGGAATGCCAGTAGGCTGGGTGAAAATGACTGAGATAGAAATGATGAAAAAGCAGGACATTTACATACAAAAATGTGAAATTATTATTGAATCGTGTAAGGCGTAAAAAGCCTTTCGTCGCACACTGAGCAAACACGACAACAGAGCCAGTGGAGAAGTAGAGCAGATACGAAGCGAAACTTGGTCTCGATGAATCTGCTGAGATAACATTGTGCACTTTCATCCGAAATGAAGGTCCCCCTAGAAGTGAAGGAGTTGAAGAACGTTAGATTTTAATCAGTCTATACGGGCAAATTGTCGTAGCCCATCTCGATCAGTATAATATTTTCATCTCATGTGAGATTAATTCATCCGATTTCCACGATACTATGAGTAGACCTTGTGCTTCCATTGAATTCCATGTAGGGATTATCATTCAGGCCTAGCTCTCATCAGCACCCTCGGTGGGACTCGAGTCATGACGGCGAAACGCACAATTTTAACACGCAAAACGAAATAGGACGAATACATCTCATATACACGATCTACAAGTAGTCTAG